CGCCGTCGTTGTATTTGTGAGGGTGCGTTTTCCCTTGCGCGAATTGAAAAGGATTTGTGTGGCGTGGCGTGAAAATGCGAAATTCTAGTCTCGTCTGTGGCAACCAGGGGGCCCTGTGAGGCTAAGCGCCGACTACAGTTTGCGGTTGTACAGCAGCTTGACCTTGACCTCATTTTGGTTAAAGTCTGTGCATTGGGTCGCCTCCCTGGGAATCGCCTCAGTTAGTAAGAGCGAGAACGCTGAGTGAGACCAGTGGAGGGAGGTCCTAGGCAAGCCCTGCTATGGCCCAGCGCTAGCCAACTGAGCCCTTCAGACCAGACAGCCTGTGTTTGTTGGATCAAAGCCCGAGACTTTGAAGCCCAGCTGGATCTCACTCCCAGTGCATAGGAGGCTGCATGGGAGTAGGCAGGAGCTCTGCTTGCCAGAGGTACGTGAGGGGCATGGCTAGTGTAGGCCCGTGACCTGGGTTGAAGTCACGTTTTTGCATGCCAGATTAACTAGCTAAGACACACCTTATAAGGCAGCGAGCTCAGCCGCGACGCGGTCAGAAAGCAATGTTGGAGCCTCCAGTTTCTCATGAATTTTAACAAGCAAATCAAATCTCAAAATCAACTCATGTGAAGAGCAGACTGCAAAAGCAGTAGTAAGCCTGTTTAAAAATCTGCAACATCGAATCATCCCGCAAGCGTTTCCTGTTCTTCTAGGGGTGTTTTCTATGAATCAAAGAAAGAGGCTCTCACGCCAGGCCTGCAAGGCGTCGCTCAGGAAGCGATGTTTAGGCATTTAATTCCTAGTGAAGTTTAAGTAACAATTCAGGTCTCAAAATCAGCTCATTTATGCGGGATTTGAGGTTCCAACATTTAGGCTTTAGCCGTTTAAGCCTTAGAATTGGAGACTATCCTTCGGAGACTAGCCATTTTTAGGATCTGGGAAGAATCTCGGGGGTTTTTGGCCCAAAAAGCAGCCCGCGCCTTTTAAAGTTATCTTTGACACCAAATTGTGACCAAACGGTTTACTTTGAATCTGGGGGGCTTTCTTCATCAAGATCGTGGATTACCCTGGTTACCACGCCCTACAACTAGCTCGACTAGACCCTGCGACAGGCCAGATATTCTAAACACTTTTCGCACCCGGCAACTGCATTCCCCCTTTTGAGGAATCCCTGCTCGCATAAGTTTTGCGGTTGGGTCCCGCACCGCTCCACCTTCTGCGCCGTGCCAGCCGCAGCAGAGAAGTTACATTTAAGCAAGGGAGGCTCTGTTCTGAGTTACGCCTTCATGAAATGACAGGCCCAATCAACCAGACCGGTGAACCATGGGCTAGGCAAGGGGTGTAGGGCTTAAGGAGCCTGATTCCCTAGACTAGTTCTTGGGTTTAAGGCTTGAGGTTCAGTTGCCAACTCTGGGGGAGTCAGAATGACACAAGCAAGGATTGTGGACTATGTTGGGGACATCTTTGTAGCCCTCAGCAGTAGTACAAGCTCTATGACACACTAAAGACTTTCTATCATACAACCCCCCCCTTCATGTACCTCCCAGTACGAACATATTACCGTTTAGCAAAAACCTTTGTCCAGCTGTTTGATCCCAACTCTACCCCGTGTGGCCTGTTGCAACCTGCATGAAACCAGACATCCCCAACCCATGGCTCTCGTGAACGGGCAAATTTTAACTCTGCTGCGGTTTCATGTTTTAGTCCTTACAAGAGTCAATCATATTGGAAACAGTACTTTATACGGTCTGCGACTGGCTTCAAGAGAGTCGGCTTGGCGAACAAGTTCCGCTGGCCGCGGAGAATTTTTACCATCGTGGGCCACAATACTACTCCAGGAGATGAATTCAGTAACGAAAAAGAGAACTACTGGCAGTAAGTGCTGCTACCACCAGGATGACAACGACGAGGAATACTAGGGACACCCCACATCAACCATTCTCGTGACTTCTTTCCGTGGAGGGATTGGGAGCAGGGGGTGGTCGGGTGGGTGGGGTGGGGGTGGGCGTGAGGGGAAGAATCACGTCAGTTTTAGGTGCTGGCATGCAAATATTGTTGGTAATTACCGCATTTGTGGTGATTTTGTGTGGGTTCGGTGCCTTCCACCACATCCCGGTTCTGCTTAAGCTCTTGACCACACACCCATGGCATCCAAGGGAGCACTCGGTAGGGGGCGGCGACGACTACTACTACTACAACTTCTCCTCCTCCTACTACGACTGCTGCTACGGCTACTGCTACTGCTGCTACTGCTACCGCAACCCCAGGTAACAGGACTAATGAGACGGTTTCCCATTGGCACGATGACTACTTCCTATGATTCCATTGCAATTCCTCCGAACCTGGTCTACGCTCACCAAACTTCGCAATGAAAACCCTCAAACCCTTTAACCCTTAAACCCCTAAACACCTAAACCCTGAGGGCAGCTGCTAGAACTGAATACATCTCCCAGCCCATTGACTCACCCTCCAGGTTCAGTCGTGTGCGAAGAGCCGCGCTGGCACTTTCAACCTTGGCAAATTTGCGGCATGGTTGTACATGCATGTGTAAACATATACACGCATCATGTAGGAGGACCCCCCCCTCATGTAGTAGTGGCATAATAGGAAGAAAAGAGGACCCTAATATAATCCTTACTATCCCGTATTACTCACTATTACTGGGTGGGTGGTCCACCTAACGTATCATTTGGGAACTCCATGTGCATATACACATGCTTTGCATCTATTTTGAACCCTACAGTAGTGACCTACATAATTAACAATGTGACTTTGAGGTTTGTCCGAGGTACCCTATACTTTTATACAAGGAATCTGGGACCATACTGTTCGTACTTGTTGACGCTTTTGCATTACCTAGTTCCTGACTTTCCCGGTTGGCTACTGCAATTGGTAGCTTCCCTAAGCGGGGAGACACCAAGACACCATAATCCTTATTCTAAAGAGCCCAAGAGGGTACCCATGATTTTGGGAAACCCTTCTTTGGGGGTCGGGAATGGGTACGCTTTGATGGTGCGTAAGGGCACATGTACCCAATAGACCGCATGTGTGAGAATAACTCACATTCGCACGCGTTCAACACACTGCAATACGCGAGAATTGCACCCAATTGCGCTGGCTGGCTGTGTTTCAGAGCTTGCCACCAGTTTTGCAACCTTAGGCCCCCATTCAAAAGCCCCCGTTGCCGACACACCAAGTCTTTAACCAAGCCCAGTGGCGTTGGCAGCATCAAGCTGCGGTGCGAGCTCGAGCTCGGTTCAGGATCGCCTTCCGGATTTTCGGGGACTCTTTGTATGCCAGAAATAGGATCTATAGGGCTTTATTATGCTTTATTAGTTTTAGGGGCCCATGAGCCGGAACCGCGGCTGCTACACGGAACAGCTTGGAATCCTGATGCCCGTAGGCAGGAGCCTTCGACGTGACAGGTCCTGCGACCATAGACTATACCTCTGGTCCGCACGTGTAATGCATTCTGTATATGGTGAACACCCATCAGCAAGAAAGCAACTTAAGAAAATATTCGCGGTCACAATTCTGATGCTCGCTTCATGTCGGGCCGTGACATGCTCTTGGATGTTGTCCGCGCCGTATCTGTAAGTGGCATGCCGCTTGCCAATTAGGCCTCGTATGGCTCTCGCTCCAAGTGCTGTGTCAAGTTCTTGCAAACATACAACTGGTCGGTGGTTGATCCTGGCACCTTCGAGCATGAGCATCTGCAATTCCTTTTGACCGTGCTTCGCATGACTTTGCCTGTGATGTGAGCGAGCTGCGGGGATCTTGCCGTCACTTTGTGTATCAGAGATGGCGGCCGTCGATGCCCAAGCATGCCCAAGCCTGCTCGCACACTGCATACCCTTCCGACCGCTGTCCGGCTGCACGTAGCATGACGGGGTCTTCCCGGCGGCTGTGCAGCGTGATGGCTGGAGCCTTCATCAGCCCGAGGAGATTATTGATCATCACGAGGGATTCGCTTAATCCCAGCGCAGTTTGTCGCCCTGCGCGCGCACGCAAAGCTTGCGAGGCTAACCCTGCATGCCCTCTTTGCAAGGACAGGCAATTGTCCATCTCCTTTGCACGCCTTACATATCCCTAATCCCCCTAAAACCGACTGCGCCTGGTTCCCACCTCCCGTCCCTTTGGCACACTTTTCTGGTTTAGGTCCATTTGCCCTTTGTCCCTACCTGCTTCCCTACTAGTTAGGCTTTTTGACTTTAGACCCTTGCTTGCCCAACGGAAGCTTTGACCTCTGTTTCAGAGATGGTCAGCTTCCGTAATTGGACACACACCTGCACCATTATATGCCCTGCTCGGCTTCTGTTTGGTGTGAGCAGAGGCACTGGGCACTATCCTTGGGGTGTAGAGTATAGGTTCAAGGACTTATTCTGCAATAGCTGAGGATTCAGGAGCAGGAGCTGTGGCTTGATGGCTTTATAGCATGTCCGTCGCCACCGGCATCAGTACGGAAAAGCGAGGAACCACTTTTTCTTGGATGAAAAACGACCTCCTCATTATCAACAAGGAACTTTTGACCATCAAAAGAAAACACGGATCAAAGAAACTGTTTCTTTGAAATGCTGAACTGTCTTTGGTCTGCGGCGCTTGTGAAAAGGCTTTGGATTGCTCCAGCCACCAAGGAAAAGCTGTTTCCGATCGAAAACAAAGCTTTCATTTGTAAAATGCAGGACAGTCCCACCCAGCCCTCTAGGGCTTGAGTTTTCGTCTAAGGTGAAGGGCTTGGAGCTTGCGGGTTTCGGGGCTTCAGATGCAGAGTTTATGGATGTTTCCGGCTTGGGGTTAGGAGTTCAGGGCTTAGAGTTTGGGGCTCAAGGTAATTATCGACGCATTCCTGAAATCACAGGCCTTGAGCTGTCCGGCACCATGGCTTGATCTACTAGGGTTTAGGTTTAGGGTTTTCAAAAGTATCCCGCATAGATCACCTGAGGATACCCGAGGAGGACCTCAGGTGCCAAGACAAACTTGCCTGCGCCAACTTCCGCTCAAATGAGGCTTCACTCGCCCACAGCAATCTTTTTCCTTGCAGACTCTATGACATCTCTGCTTGGCACCCTAAACTCGGAACCTTTTTCGTTTACGTGACATTGTCTATTGGCCATGTCTGCAATAAAAACCTGAACAACTGATGATCTTTGGGGCCACCACCCTACACCCTAAACCCGAAACCCTAAACCTAAACCCTGAATCCTAAACCCTAAATGCTAAGCCCTAAGCCCTGTAAATCCCCTAAACCTCAAGGTGGACCCTCACCTTCATAGACTCTACACCTTGGCCGGCTTTTGTTGCACTGGAAACAAGGGGTCCCGCTAAGCTGACTGTGCTTCCTGAGTTGCCTCAGAAATCCCGGAAAAAACTACTTAAACGTTTTATTGGTTAGGGTTCTGGCTCAAGGTTCCCAAAGCTTCCTAAATATTTAATTACAAGGGCTTGCAGACACGACGAAGCAGAACAAAACACCTGCAGCTACACATGACACCAGGTCATTGAAACTCGCATCCCTGATGAACATAAGAATATCTGCATTGCCAAGCCCAAAAGTTAGGGCCCAATGACTACTGAGGTCGAAACTTTGGGGTGGTAAAACATCCTATGAATACATACTATAAATCCCTATGCAATACCAAGTTCCATTTCAATTTCCATGTTCCCGAGTCCATTTTTGATTAGCCGGAACACAGATCCCAATATTTCCCACCGTTCGTTTCACTTTGGAGTTGACAGCTCCATTGAAATAATGCAGGGGTCGCTGGAGAACCTTACAGTCCCTTTCTACAAGAATTATATAGGGTCTAGGGCTGTCGTAGCGACCGTTTCTTAACAAGAGATTGATAATCAAATCGAAGCTTGAGTTATCTAGTGGCTGAAGGGATTGAATGTACAGGCTTGAGTCACCGGAATACCAATGTAGAGGCAGCCCTGTCGGTGAGCCCAACAGCTATAGACACGCACCGGTCTAGATTTGTCATGTTTTGTGATGTTGTGATGCCGCTGTCGCTGAGTGAGAGAGCGAGAGAGAGAACCCCAACCCTCTACCCCTACATATCCCCTATATAAACCCTATAATCCCTGTAGTTTCCATTTTATTTTCCATTATCCCAATATAACCCCAACATATACATATATATATATATATTTATTTATTTATTTACACCCCATTATGCACCGTGAACCGTAAACCATGGAGAGAGGAGAGAAGCCCTGGCCTGCTCAGTCCCAGTTTGAAACGCTTTTGAAAGGCCAATCCTTGCATAGAAGAGTCCACGAACTCTTTCAACCCAAAACCCTGAACCCCGAGTCCTCCAATATCAGTTTAGGGTCCAGGGCTTTACAATTTGTCCCTGTTACCGTGACAGAAAATGCTGCTGCGCATCATGGCAGTCATGTAGCCGCGCAATTCTCTGCCGACCACCTCTCGAAATGCAAGTGTAGGCTCGGTTGCTAAATTGAGTTACCATGATATGGGGTAGATAGGGTTTAGGGCTTAAGTCACCCTAATATGGGTATATAACAAAAAATAGGGTATCCTGAATATAGTAAATGAATTAACTTCCTTACTACCAACCCAGTAGGGGCCTACATGTTGGCTACTGCCAATATGGAGATGATGTGGGGTGGGGTCTAAGTAAGCATTAAAGGGATATACGTAGGTAGCGATATACATGTAAATGCCTCATGTTTAGATCTTTCGGTGTCATGAAGAAACAAGTGGTGAAAAGGAACTGGAACATGACTTGGAAACCGAGATTGGGGCTTTAATGTAGGGCCGTTTAGGGATACAAATTTGGAATTTGGATACTGCCCCAGGCTATGTCAGATGTAGGCCTCCCTTGTAAGGGTATACACATACAAGGATGACAGCATTGACAACATTCGCCGGGGCTGTTAGAGGGCGGGGGCAGCCAACCTGAATGATTGAAAGCGAGTTTGGGACTCAGGATTTAATTGGGTTTAGGGTTTACCTGGACCCCAAAAGTATGCAAAATCATGGCCTTTGTGGCTGTTACTATGGATTCAGGGCTATTTTTTTACATACTTTCGGGGTATAGGTAGGATTTAGGGCTCCGGGGTGTTTAGGGGCCACGTTTACTGAGGAAAGTACTACAGAATAGAATGGAAAACGCAAGGGTCGGCATTATGGAGCCGGGGGTTACATGTAGCGTTGTAGGGCTTTAAGGGGCTAAGAGAATGAGGATCGGCTATTTGGCGGTATGTTCTACCATATCTATCACATTACAATTGCTGCATCTTCATGCAGCCAAACTCAAGCTCTGAATACTGAACATGAAGTGCGGCGGTTCAAGCTTCAGGTGCTTAGGGTTGAGGGGCCTTACTGACTCTGGTTGGTAGGGAATGAAGGCATCATGGGACATGGGGATTACAGAGGCCTCAGAGAGGGACTACTATCGAAAGCCCCTGCAATCTCAACTTACTACTCACCAATGAGTTAGGGTTAAAGGTTTAGGGGTTTCATATTCAGGTCTCTGGAGCTTGTACAGGAGCGTAGTGCTCTCGAGTCTGACTGGTGTCGGGTAAAGGGCTGTAGGGTGCTGGAGGGAGAGGCCCTAAACTCTAAATCCCAAACCCCCAAAACTTAAGCAAAAATTTAACTGCCTCCACGGGATGTGAGGCGATGGCTTCGTCCACCTCGGATATAAGGGATTCCAGAAGTAAGGGGTACTTTGTCATGGAGCTATGTGATTTATATACGGCACGGCTGTGTGCTGGTCTCTTTTTGCGGATCTGGGGATTCATTTGCTGTAGGTTGGATTTCGGCAGTTTTGCTTTTCGCGTGTGAATCCAGTTGTAGATTAGGTAGGTATATTGCAAAGCACCAGTGGTATCTAAGAGTAACTAGAATTGAGACTATAGGATGTCACATTGTTCTAGCTTGTTGTTGCCATATCAAGCTTGCCCAAAGACCCAAATATTAGGGCTTCAGGGCCAAAATACCATAACATTAATGGCATTTGGGCCCGAAGCCCTACATTTTTTGGGGTCCTTGGACTCTTAGTGTTGTAGATCCAGGAGCTACGGGAGGACTGCCTCCCTGTAAGCTCATGCTGCAATGGGCCGTCCGTACTGAGAAGTCATGCCCTTGAATCATAACACAGCGGCCCATGCAGCCAACAGGGCTTGGGGGTGGCTCTTATTAGAAATGAATAAGTTAGGAGGACCCCCCCACCCTGTAATAGTGGTACTGGGTGGGGGGTCCACCTAATGACTAAGCACTTTCCGGGAATCCCGGGAGTTCCTTTGGCGAATTCGTTGGCAAACTACTAGATCTTAACAACAGAGTGAGCTTGAAAACTGTTTAGGCTACACTGAGCTGAATATGCAGTTAGTGGGACACGCACGTCCTCATGCCAATTCTCATTTGGCATGGCGGTTGCCTTATGAGGGCATAGTTCCCCGCGTCAAGTTAAATTGCCAACCCAAAGCCCGCATATGCGCCCGCTGAACACCCTAATACTCTCTAACACCCTCAACCCATGAAAGAGAGACTGCAAGAATGGGAGCGAACATCAAACGGGATCAGATTCAGGAGTCTGTTTCTGCGAGATAAACACGATGCTGTCAAGTGGCAGCCAAAAGCGCTTGGTTGTCTACGCCATTGTCACCTAGCAGAAATGAGGCCGCAAGGATCAGCGCTCTGGTTTTGCGAAGCTTGTATGTGTGCGTACATATACATTCACAGATGTAGAAATATACACATCACACCACATCAGATCACATCGCATGGCATCGCTTCGCATATACATGCATATATATATATATGCAAGTCACACATGATGTATGATTGGTAGAGCGCTGTATATACACATATGCATGGTAAGTTCTATGTATTGGTGTCTGACCTCCTCTAGCATATGGGGGGTGGATACTCATGTTGAGGGGGGTGGATTTACGACAAGGGGGGTGGGGTGCAACTTTTCTGAAGTTTCTCGGAAGCGCTCTGGCTGGCAAATCAGTTGTGGAGGTTGGCGCTGGCTTACTATCTTATTGCAAGACTTCTGTTGGATACTGCCTCCCACCCTATAACCGTCTCATAGAACCCCGATGAAGGGTATCATACTGCTACAATTTCAGTATTTGGGGACAGTTCTCCCTGAACCCTATAAACCCCCGCTTCCAAGGTTCCTGGGCAGTTACAACTGGGGCTTCACTTCGGATAGCGGAAGTCCTAACTCGTTGTCACAATACAAACTAGGGCCTCGTAGCCCTCATAGCTCAAGTAAGAGCTGACCATCAACCCTCTAACAGAAGCTCAAGCAGGAACAGACTTCTTCTCGCCTTTGTTGTACTTGGTGCCAATCACGCTGGTGTCTACTTTGGCCATGAAGTCCTGCAAATACCATTCAATTAGTTTAGGGTCTAGGGCGTGGAATTTGGGGAATAGCTACCAATCCTTACCCATGGCAGACTATCACTCGCCCTTAGGGATGGTGGGCTCCTTAGCGCGGGGGTTGCACAAGGTTTAGGGTTTAGTCAGGGCGTGGGGTCTATGCATGGAGTTCCGTCGCAGTTAGTGTACGGACAGTCCAGCTCTGTCTCCCGCAACTAAAATTCCTAGGTTTTCCTTGGACAAGCAAAGTTGAAATGACCTACTGACTACAATACATCTCCAAGTGGACTATGCCTATAACCCCAAGCCCTACGCCCTAAACCCTAATCCATGAACCCTAAACCTCAAACCCTGCACATATCGAAGTCTAAGGAGACTCCTTCCGCGCACCCGGGTGTGCGATTAGTGAAGAACGGCTTCCAACAAAAGCATGGGCTGAAAGAAGCCTCTTCTGCCCCCCCTATGCCGTGTTGTGCCTTGACCTCTGGCTGCCTGCTGATTTAGGGGTTAGCAAAACTTGGGGGTTCCCTTTTGAAGCCCTTACTACGTGGCATAGGGCAGATGCAGTGGGACAACAACCCCTTTCTGAAGATGGGACTCTCGGCATGCTCCTAAAGAAGGAGGAGCGCGACATCAACCAAGGGTAAACATCCGTACAGCAGAGTCCTTCAGCAAAGGCATGCAGGACTGGGTGTAGAGATAGCCTTGCAAGCAGTTTGCAAGGTGCGCAATGCATTCCTCAGACTGAAGAATCATGAAGCCCATCCGTCTATGGTTTACAATATACTACACCCAGACCAACACATTAAGGCCCCTTCTCTACCTCGGCCGGACTCAAGCTGAATTCCAGACTTCATGAAGCGCTGGGCCAGTGGGCTTGTGCGGTATACCTTCCAACTACCCATTTTTAATACAAACTGATGTCCGTGGTACTGCTTCGGGTGTAGGGTCTAGGGTAGACTGTGAGGCCAACACCGGGTATTATGTCTAGACTGAGAGTCAGCTCGGACAAAGGTATCACTTAAGGGGTTGAAACCCTTGTAGGCACTGGGGCTCCAAGTAAGAGCCTACAGCAAACTCCAATATCAGACTGTATCATATGTTGAGAAGAAGGCCGCCGCTGTAAGCTTACGGCATGTATTCACATTCTGAGGCCTAAGCCCTAAAACCTAAACCCTCCATGGTACAGTAGCAGCTATCTGCGGCGATACGCCTTTCTTTTGACAACGGCAATCCGCCTGCCTCACTTGTGGCTAGCAGGAGAAAAGGAAACGGATCCCTATTGGAATCCTTACATAACCTGTATATAGTTGATAGTCGTCCCCATACCCCATTTGTCTTGATTCAGTACCAACCACCTGAACCTTCGCACTAGAATTGCATTTTGATTGTTTTTTCTATTCCCAACTAGCCCCCAGTATGGAGTTGCTTCCATTTGCTTGTGAATTCCCTGCTAACCACCCAAGATGCTAAACCCTAACCCTCATTCATATGGCGTAGCTGTAGCTTCAATTTCACTTTGCACTCCCTCCTAGCTACTGCCCACCCTAAATACCTACACCACAAAACCCTACAGCCTAACTCCCAAACCCTGACTTATACATATACATATATATATGTATATATATATATATTTATGCGATAAGAAGCTTCAATCTTTTCCATTCCCTTCCAACCACTACTGCGCCACAAGTTCTTGGTGCAGTTCCCACCTCACAGGCTGCTTCAAAGAGCTCAAGCCCTGGCAGCCCTAAACCCTCCAGGTTTAGGGTTTAGGATTTTATGGGTTTAGGGTTTAGGGTCTACAGGGTTTAGGGTTTAGGGCTTTAAAAAACACTAAGTCCAAAACGTAAACCCCAAACCCTATACCTTACACCCTGCAACCCAAAGCTACATACAGGAATATGGTAGCGTTCATGTTATTTTCCATTAGTTCCCCGGGTGAGGCTCTGGCAGCCATACTCTGCAGTGTCTGAGATGACTTTGTTCATCTCATACAGCTTCCTTGGCTCCAGAATTCAGGGGAAGATTCAGGGTTTACGGTCAAGGGGGCTCTCCCTTTATTTGCTCTAAGGCTTGGGGTTTGGGACTTAGGCTTGAGGGTGCGGTGCTCGAGGCAGAGTGGGGAAGTGGTCCTTTCTGTCTCACGGACACGATTTGGTTGTCCGATTTCTTGCGAAGCTTGCATCAACGGTTCTGTTGCGGTGGTGTAGGGAGTACAACGAAGGGGCGCCCCGGGTCCCTCAACCCTAAAACCCTGAACCCTTGATTACATGATGCTGCAACTATGCACGGGCTGCCGAAAATTCACATGACTTCTACATTGCCCTTCCTGGAGGATTGCATGAAAATGAGCGTTCCCTCAACTCAGGAAACCTGCCCGCGAAATCGTGGCAGGGTTTAGGGTTTAGGGGTGTTCGCTTTTGGATTGTGAAGTTGGATTCAGGTTCAGGATCAGAGCATTGGGGCCGTAGTGATTTCAACTTGCAGCATGCTTGCAAAACAAACCGAAGCACCAACCCCCATGGACAACCCAATGGTACGAGTAATCCGGGAAAGGCGAAACGGATACCTATAGCACACAACATATAATAATACAATTCCATAGAGTAGCCCCTATAACACATTTCTTCATTTCCTAATAGCCGTCATAAATCCTACACCCCCAAAACCTAAAAGACATATGCTGAATCCCCCGCTTGCGATTCCTTTCCCTACGACACACCAGTAAGCGAGAACAGGCAGGTATGTTTCCAAACACTGCTATCTACAATGATCATGCATTTACAAAAGACTACAAGTTACTACCTATAATTTGGTTTTCCCTACCTTGGCTAACAACCTGAACACAGATGTAGCATGCCGGGCTCTGTTTCATTGTCAGTGTGCCTGTCCATGTGGTTCTTCATCATGCGAAAGTCCCTCCCAGTAGTACCCACCAGCTAAAAGGTAATCCTTACGTATCTCCAATGCTCGTCCCCCCAAACCCATTCCTTCATTTCCTTCATTTCCTGCCGAAAACCCTAAACTTGAAACCCTGGACGCCCACTCCCTACAACCAATCCTAAATCAAAACCCTCAAGTATAAACTTACATGGTAGTTTCCCAAAATAGGGGGAAACCAATATAGACCCCAATATACTATAGTCCTTATTATAGAGACCCCCAGAAAGGGTAGCCCTAATTTTGGGAAACCCCCTTATATATTAGCTTCCATTCTCTTTTGCATCCCCTACTGACCACCAGTAGTTCTCTTTCTCTTACCACCTCCACAGCTGCGGCAAAGAGCTGAAGAGGCCAGTGTCTCCGTTAAGCCTTTAACCCTAAATCCATGAACCCTAAACCCGAAATTCTAAACACTATTAAACACTGCATACTTTAGGCCCCCCCCCCCCGTCACTAAGAGTGATCACAAACTGTATCGGCGCATGTATGTACTCCTCTATACCACTACTACTGGTTGGGCTGGTTGGGGGGGGGTCTAGCCCAGGCTTGTGGAGAATTAGCAAATATTAGTAGCCCGTATGAGTAGCGTGTTGCGTGCTTGAACCACCTAAGGGAACCACCTAAGGTGCCATTCGTTCGGCGGAGGATATAACCTGTCTTCTCTTTACTGGGGACTAGAGTACCCTAAAGACCATACAACTTGTCTTTCATCCCGGCTATCTCTTAAGAAATTCTATTCATTCGCTTACCCAAGTCCACATGACCCTCTGAGTACGAACCACCCGTCAGAAAACCAATAACGCCCTATCAATCCAGTTTCCATTTCGTGTTCCATTAGTTTTCCTGTTTGTATGTTTCCGTTATTTCGAGGCCGGTGAGCGAACCCTAAACCCGAATCCCCATATTGCTCCCATATACCCTATAGCCTTCAAGCAAGAAAAGCCCTGTGTCGGTTTTCACCCTAAACCCTCAATCCAAGACCGTAAACTGAAACCAGCCAGTTGCTTTCCCTACAAACCCTTCGTAAGAGCGCACATATACATATAGACCATGTCCTTTTAAACCTTTTAAAAATACATCTTGAGCCCTCAATACGATAGCGCTTTCCACTTTCTTGTCCACTGTATAATTGGGTAGGGACCAGCATGCAAACCTAAACCCTAAGCCCAGCCAGGCGTCTTTCTTGCAATGGTGTTGGCGATCAGCGGCGTCTCGTGCAGAGACTCATAGTAGGCGCTCTCAGGTTTCATCCCGACCTGCCCGGGTCTCTTCACAGGGCGCAGTACAAATATGCAGCGTCAATTTTAACGGGCTTCGAAAGTGGCTGTACAGGGTTTAGGGTGTAGGGCTTGGGCGGGGGGGGGCAATGGGCTTGGCTTTGATATGAGTGCAAGGCGTAAAGGGTTCAGGGTCTAGGGTTGGGTTGTGCCCTGAACCCCAAACCCTAAGTACTAGAAATCCTGGCCAGGTGCTGCACACTAAACCCTATAACCCAGCCCGTTCACAACCCGGAGGCAAAACCGGCATGATGACATATTTTCCAGAGGTCTTTTTAAGCCAGGGACCATGGGGATACACTTCCATAAAGGAGGGTGCGAACCAGGAAGGAAGCTTACCTTCTGGTCATTTGGGGACCGGTTTTCTGGAGAACTGCCACGCAACTCCTTCATGCTTGCAAGGCTGGTATGGGAGCTGCAGGTTGGTCGGTTTAATCCTCCGCGCATGTACATTGTCATCAATGATGATGTTTGCTGGTATCAGCAGCACTCTAATACTCAAACACCCCAACCCTGACATTGGGGAGTCCTGTGAGTAGCTGGACGGGCTACTGTTGCACCTGCTCCAACTAACCCTATACCTAGCTGATCATGGGCCTCTCTGAGAACACTAGCTACAATAGATGGGTAGCCTCCCCCAAACTCACATGAAACCTGAAAAGGGACCCTTTCCGGACTCCCGTCGTCGTTTAGTGTTGCAAGGGGGCTATGACAGGTTCCATGTTAGTTTAAAGGGCTTATAACGGCTCACATGAGGATGTATGTAGCGACTCATCATGACCAAGTCTGGGTTGTTGCAAAGGAACTTAAAATTCTTCGTCACAATCTAGAGATGTATGGTGAAACATGTGGGGCAACTTAGTTGAAGGCAGCAAAATTTGAAACGAGGAGTCCATGTAGGGGTTATATCTTGTTCCCTACTCGGACCCATCCCAGCCATCTGGCCTACGACTATCTCAAAAAAGGCCCATACAATGGCTTAGGATTTCGGATTCAGGTCGCTCTATGTGGTCTAAGCCCATCAACTTGTATCTCTCTCAGGCCTTACGATATCAATATCACTGCTCAGTCAGCTGTGTGCGGGCCTGCTGGCCCCAACCCTAAACCCTAACCCTTCCCATGCGCCCGCAGTTTGAAACAAACTCCCACAAGGGCATTCCCCCGAACTTAAGGTCCCCTGACCCTTTATCCCCGAATGCAATGACACTCTTTGTCAGAACCTCCGAAGTAAAGGCCCCTCATTTCTTGAAACCCTGGACCCTAAACTCTAGATATTCCAGATGACCCTTAGAACCCGTTGAGAGGAAACCCAAACCTCTGGGCCATAAATCCAAAAAGCCTACATAACCCCATAGAAGTCTGTACACCCCTGAAGATATGGCCCTAAATATGTTTGTATAACCCTACTATTGATAACAAAGGTCCTGCATGACCTTGTTCTACTGGAGTAGCAGAGTTCCCAAGGCATAAGGTACATACAGTCATGCAGCACTTGTAGTATCAACCATACAACGGCTTTTAACCGTAGTTTCCTTAGACCTATAATCAGAAATACTACCTTTAAAATTTCTTTAGGGTTATACTATAACAAAAAATAATTCCTAAGGACACTACAGTTAGGGGACCCGGAACCGTTGGAAACTTCCAGCTCCAGCCTTCACCATCTCTTCAAAGGCGAGCTCCACTCCGGCCTTTCATTTCTTTGCAAAGTTCAGGATTTGAGTAGGGTTTCGTGTACATAAGGTGTGGGGTACATAGGGTTCAGGGTATATGGGGTTTACGGCATATATAGGGTGTAGGGTACATAGGGTTTAGGGTAAGGGGGTTTAGGGTACATGGTGTTTAGGAATTTCAGGTTGAGGATTCAGGGTACGTAATGCGGTGATTTTGGATAAAGGGGCTAGCGGGGTATGTCTGAGTTTATCCAGAATATGCCTGGAAACCCCTCGACGGAGGATTCCTAAGCTTTAAACCTTGAAGCCAAAGCTCTAAACACTCTTAACTTTAACCCCAGGGTTTAGGGTTTAGGGTACCCTAAATTATGTCCCCAGGGCTGGAGCCACTGTCTTGACAAATTCACATGTAGGTCTGAGGTCAAAGGCTCAGGCTAGGGCGTTCACAGGTAAAGAACACTTCCTACAGAGGCTAGGGCTTACAATCGCCCCCAGTAAAAATCTCCATACGGCTTCGGCTGGACGGGGATCACAAGCAGATTATGGGGTGGTTGATGCAATGGAAAGGTTGTACTGTTTTTGTAAACTACGACAACCAGAGGGAGCACAGAATCTTACTCCATATGCAGGACTTTCGTCTCCCCATTGAAGCATACTACGCCTGTAAGTACTTCCCCAAACAGGGCCCTCCTTTAGATACCCAGAAATACTAAACATGCTCGTTAAAGGGACCCGTATGTGTTGGAGGAATCCCTTCTCCGTTAAGAGATTTGGGCTCATAGTTGTGGGACTGTCAGATTCTTACGCCTTAAACTCTACTTAGAGTAAGCAATGTAACTAACAAAACAGGTGCTGTAACTGCTATTTTGGTATCTTTATCTTCTTCGAAGGTGTAAGCTACTCAAGGTAAAACCTAATTGGAGGCTGAAGGGACTTAGTGAGTAGCTTAGAAGGGTGGTACAATCAACTTAAACCAAGCTGAGGGACTTCTAGCCCCGTTCATAGTCTACTTACCAAATCCCCAGGGCAACTATGGGTCCCTTTGATGCCTTATGCGAAGCAGGAATGGATCCCAAAAGAAGTGCGCGCCCTATTCGTCCTTGTAACCTATCCTGTCATTTATGACTAACCTATCCTGTCCTTTATGACTAAGCACCAGGGAGTTGTATGGGGTTGAGGATTTGTTGAACCCTAAACCCTAAACCTTAACCGTCATCTTTTTCTTTTCAGCCTGAGTCTCCTTCTTTGACGTTTGGACATGTTTTGGGCTGGTCGCTCGAAACTGAACAGCCCTGCTTTCCAAGCAATCTCTTTGCGCAATGGTTTAGCTGGAAGCAACTGCACGCATCCATACTTGTCAAAGTTCTAGGTTTCTAGGAGTATGCATCAGTAGCAAAGCTTGGGACGCAATGCCCCAACCGTTTTCATTTGAGCATGCCGCAGACTTTGGGATTTTCTCAAAATGAGCCCTACATACCTTAACAGGGATCCCTAAAACCCATACGCAATATTGCGTGTGTATGTAAATTCATATGTAACACCTCTGAGTACGTGTGTAGAACACTGTTCGCAGGGTCCCTAAACCCTCAACCCCACAGACACTTCTTGCGTAGAACCTCCAAACCGTCAACCCTAAACACTCCAAGTGCTTGTCGGCCTTGATCATGGCAACCATGAGGATGGCGTTGTCAAAGTACTCCTGCTCCTGCGTGATGCATAGATATGTGTTTTTAGAGTAATCCTAGGTGTGGCGCATACATGCAAATGCTTTGGCTCAACGATCCAGGAGCATACGCCCTTTAAAGGACCCCCATTTTTTCTGGAAAGCCCATCTATACCCAAGATCGTCAACAAGTCTTTGTGGAGCTTCTCAAGCACCTCCCTACCTGAGGGTCTAGGATTTAGGGTTTAGAGCCTGGGGTTGCCTCAGCCCTCCAATTGTCCTTGAACAAGGGCTACAGGGTCCCTAATAGTGGATGCTGATTTGCCATAAAGACGGGTAGTCTGAGGATCTTGGTATACAATCCCTCCCTAAACCCTAAACCCTGAACCCTAAACACTGAACCCTGAACCCTAAACCCTGAACCCTAAATACTGGACCCTAAACCCTAAACCGCGTAGGAGCCCTGTATCATCCCCGTCAGGAAGCTCTTCAAATACCTGTAAAACTTCCGCAAGGTAGGTTGAGAGGTTTAGTGTTTAGTAAGTTGCCTTTTTGGTTAGGGTTTAGGGTTTCCGGTTTAGTGTTTAGTAAGTTGCCTTTTTGGTCAGGAACACTCCTTCTAAGGAAGGGGATTCTCACCCGGGCCCTGCTCACAAGGACCCTTCGAAAAAACCCAGGCATTCTTCCTCAAACCCTAAACCCTGAACCCAGGGGTACTTAGTGGGTAGGTTAAGTGATAACTAGCGTTACTATATGGATTATGGGGTTATTAACCTACTTGGTAAGTCCCCCTGACCCTCAAAGTAGTGTTAGCCCCCCCACCCTTGAAGGTGATATATGGGGGTTAGTATTAGGGTTTAACGTTTGGGGTTTGAGACGAATATTAAACCCCCACGCTAAAAGGGGATATATAGGGTTACTATTCTGGTTTAGGGTTTACCCGGCGGGTTCATTTGCCGGGAGGCTTTCGTATTGTTTTTTACAAGGAATCGCAAAAATGCGATTCAGGTCGTGGATTGTATTTTGTTGTGTTGCCAGAGTGCTGGAATATGCTTGTTTGTCATGATGCGTGCCATACAATGGTCGCTTGTAGGTATGGTTGTGACCACTTTTTTAGATTAGTCCTCTTATAAGATCACGCGATGATGTCGTTGACCTCACGTATGTTTCGGCGATCCCTCACCAGAGCAACATGATAGGTTTTCTGTAGGCCGGCACGTCTGAAAACGCTGGCCAGCGTGGCATATCAGGACATTGTCTGCAGATGCTTCTCTTCTTGAGAATACCTTGCTCAAGACAGGGACTCCATACGAGTAGCTAAATCTAACGAACGTGATTATCCCCCCCCTCACCCCGCCCCCCAACCCCCTAACCAGAAATTACACAGTGAATGCCAGAAGTAAAAATGAGCACCTCTCGGTCCAGGGTCAGCGCAAACAAGAACCAGAACACTACCGACAGGCCAAAAAGACGGTTTTGCAACACGAGAAGAAGATGCGCAGGAAACAATGATTGTGAGAACGGAATGATGAAAAATGTGCCACGCTGGGTGGCATTTCGCAACACAGAGTAAAACATGCAGCTCGCGACGGGCGAAAATGTGCGACGAAACGATGACGCATCGTCTCGTCAAAAAACAAGCAGCGAGAGCTAGCATAACGGTGTTTGACAAAGAAGCGAAGCATCTTCAGACATGGTCCTGATATGCAACGCTGGCCAGCGTTTTCCGAACTGCAGTAAAGCAGAAGCCTGTTTCGCACGCATTGGAGTCTCCAGCACCCCAAGGTCTGTCCCTGAAAGAGAACCGGTTAGGAGGGTTTAGGGTTTAGGGCTGATAATAACCCCGCCACCTATCTAGGGTTTAGAAGGGGGTGATTAAGGGTTTACATAGGGGTCAAAAAGGGATGGAAACTACTATGCAGGGTTTAGGGTTTAGAGTTTAGGATACTATTAATTTTGCTCCTGCCCCCCCCCCCCTCCGGTAACAGTCTATATTGGGTGTCATATTAAGGGCTATATATATATATCACATTATAATTATTGTCCAACGGTTACCGAGTGCGGGCGGTACCCAAACCCCAAACCCCTAAACACCCTAAACACGGCAGTTCAGGGTTAACGTTCAGGGTTTTGGGCTTAGGGTCTAAGCTGGGCTTGAGGGTTTTGAGTTGTGGGCTAGAGGCTAGACCCTCAAAACCTCGAACCCAAAAATCCTAAACCCTGAGCTGCGAGAATTTTGCCATCTTCAATGCGCTGGCTGCTTGTGCAGTTCCAGATGAAGTGTAATCTGCTATCTATGATGGAAACCAGTACTTGAGATTGTAAAAAGAGCTTTACAGGAGTTCAAGCGGAGCCATTGCAGACCCTTTGGGGACGTACTGGGATAATAATGCGAATCTGGGTCCCTATTAAGGAATCTATATTATGGCTGACCTGATTGAGCAGTGTTTTGTTTGGTGGAGGAAGGGTATGCTTCTTATGAAAACTTCACCCAGTGAGAACCATAGCACCCCATTTCAAATACTACAGAAACCGGACATCATAAAAGGTTCCACATATTTTCTATGTCACTTTCCATTCCAGTATCCTATAATGCTTTGGGCCACCTCCCTTCGTATATGAATATTGACAGCTTTAGGACAAACCACAGGAGGGGATTTCGTGTAAGGAGTATAGAAGGGGTGTATGGAAAGGATATCTCTGGACCATGGGAGTTGCCCTGCATGGTAACCCCCCTTCTGTACTTGCCGTAGACAGAGGCTGATGGTATCATGTCTTACTTCTTCCAAAACACATTAATCACATCCGCCAACAAAGGCAACAAACGCTCAACACATCTAAAAACCGCACGCCCCTAAATCCTGCAGAAACCTCAAGGCCCCACTCTAAACGCGCTGACACGTACCGCACACCCATCTTCCTGGGCAGGCCTTCCAAAGACTTCTTTTAGAAAGAGGGCTACATGGGCTTCCACGTGTTGTTTGGGTGAGAGAAAACCCTGAACCCTAAGCCCCAAATTTTTTGGACTCCAAGCCTGAGCGCTGAACTCTATGCACCACAAATCCAAGGCCAACGCTCTACATGTAACCTGGAACACCAGTCAAAAAACAAAAAAAAGCCGTCAGCCTTAAACTCCCTAAAGCCTAAACCTAAAATCCTACACCCTATACGTGCTCATATATCCTTATGTACCCTTATGCTGTAGGGGCTAAAAAATGATATAGAAGTCTTTTGGCGGCTCCATATACAACCATTATGCCAAGTAAACAAGGGAGCAAGGAATCAGCACGCACCCTAAATCCTAGCCCCTCTCTCCCCTAAACCCCTCAAACCCCTAGACCGCTTAACCCCTGAAACCCCCTAAACCCCTTAGACCCCTAAACCCCTCTCCGCCCCACCGGTCCTTGATCTGCATGGGGCCTGCGGGCGTTTTCTCGAAGCCGGTCTCCGCGGTCTCTTGCCGCCACTTCAGGAGGTTCACATCCTCAGGAAGACCCAGAAATGGGGGGGGGAGGGGGAGTATGCATTTAAAGCGTAGGATTCGGTGCTTGGGATTTAAGGCTTCGGGCTTAGGCTTCAGCGTCTGGGATTTAAGGTTTAGGCTTAGGATTTGGGGTCTAGGATTTCAGCTGGGAGGTTAAGGCTTGAGGGCTCATGTGAGAACATGGGATATAAAGGCGTTACATGGTTTTGTAGGGTTGATGTTGTTGTTATATGGAGGGGCTGTTGTTTTGAGTGTCCCTTGTGGATCACCCACATCAGGGGCCACGTGCAACCAGAGACCCAACAAAGTCTACAATTCTGACAGCCCACCCTCGTGAAGGGTAGATGTTTATTTGCACACAATATCAGGGAACTGCTAATATGCTATTAGAGTAAGGAAATCAAGTGGAACCGGAAAACTTATGGTGCCACAAAGCGGAAGCCTTGGGTAGGTTGGAGTGGATAGGGCTTTGGCGGGTTAAGGTTCGAGCAATTTGGGAAGTTGTTGGGTAGGGGATGTGTGCTTAGACCCTAAGCCTTCAACCTCAGGCCTCAGCCCTCAAGCCCAGGAATCTTGTACTAGCTAAGCACCACCTTACGCCAGTCACGCGTTGACGCTCATGCCACTAGCAGGTTTGAAAGCCGTGTCCAAAGAAAGGGCTTATCCCTATAGAATCCAGAGTAGGCGCTCACACCCACAGGATTCTCTCCAAAAGATTCCGTAAGGACCTCCTATTTTGCGAAACTCCCGTTTCGGGAAGTGCCCTTTCCTCGATCATCCTCTCCAATGAAGGTTGGGGGTTTTGCAGGGCAAAGGTCAGGATTGCAGGATTGCTTTAGAGGGCTCAGGTTTACGGTTTGAGGCATAGGGTTATAAGGTTTAGGATTTAGGGTTTGGGGCGAATATATGCAGCTTTTAAGATTTACGCGCTTAATGCCTGAGGGTTTAGGCTTCAGGTTTAGAGCTTAGGAATGTGGAGCCAAGGTGGCTCCCACAGTTGAAGGCTCTGAATCAGGTATATGAATAGTATTGGGGACTGCCACGATCCGATATCATTCCTTAAGCCCTAAGCCTTAGGAGGACCCCCCACCCTGTAATAGTGACTCTAAGGGATACTAATAACCATATTAGGGTCCTTTTACATTCTTATTATACCACTATTACAGGGTGGGGGGTCCTCCTAACCTAAACCCTAAAAAGTACGCAGAACCCTACTGGCTTTGGCTTTGCCAAAGCAATTCCTCGGAATGCTGCCTGCACCCTTACTACAGAAGTCATGCGTAGGGGGTTCTGGACATCAGGGCCCTTAGGGGTTAGGGTTTTGGAAGTCTCCATAATCCCTCCCCCTAAAATTAAAACGACCGCTAACATGAAGTAACAAATTCAGGACCAACACATCCTGAAGACTACCTTTCAAAGGGTCCACCTAATAATGAATTAGGGGGTGGTTGTGGTCATAAGGTGGGGGGGGGGATAATGAGAAATACAACCCAGATCCCTGGGAGGATCTGAAAAATAGATGGGGTAGAAAAAAATGTTGGGGTTATGGCGACAATGTTGGAAGACAAAGTTGCTTCCATGGTGGAGAACCTGACTCACGAGAGGGTCCAAGAGGAAGCAACAAGCATTGCAGAGGGACAGCGCGACAACTGGGAGCACCTTGTCGCAGAGCTGGGAGTTGAAGAGGAAGTTTTGAAGACCTGGATCTCAGCCACAATCACCAATTACTCCTTTGCTATCCGGGCAGAGGTTCAGAGCTCGGCAGCTGCCATCGATGCAAAACAGGCAGAAGAAGCCTTGATGAACTTCTTCCAGTCCAAGGAAGCAAAGAGCAAGGTTGCAATGGAGGGGGGATATGTATTGATAGAATTAGATTGGAATGCCTATGACATCCGTTTAAACTCCATGGAAAATTGATAGTAATTGAACTAAGTATGAACTACTTAAGTAATGAACTAGCTCATTAGTTAGATGATTTTCGCTAAAAGTGAATTCAGTTATAATCCACTGAAAACGAAGTATTTAGTTTAAGCCTTGAAGCAATAAAACTCCACGGGATCCCTAATTCCTTCCCAGACCCCCAGAGGGATCTAAAAATTAGATCCCCTAGAATCGTATGGGATATTATATAAGGATTATAGGGGTTATCATGGGTCTATATAGGGGATCTTCAAATCCTTCGCGTACCTTGATTCCAATCTGAGGACTCGGTCTATCTCCTCCTTCGAATGAAACCTTCGTTCCAGGTAATTATTATTGCAAAGCTAGAATGAAAATCCTAAGGGACTGCGAAAGGTCAGGGGGTAGGAGGGCAGTATTCAAGCTGGTCATCCATAGGGGTCCTCCTAAGCCTTAACCGCTAAACTTTCCCTTAACCACCTAAACCCTAAACCCTAAACCCTAAACCCTACCAAGCATTGCGCCGTCGCCTGCTAGTTGCTAGGGCTGTGCTTTCTGCGTGTTTTCTCGCTGTCTGCGTTTTCCACAGGCTGGGATATGCTGCTTCTAGGGACTACAAAAGGGTTTAGGGTTTAGGGTTTTTACTTCCAGGGACTACTTGTACAAACCCAAGCACCAGGTGCTGACGTCCCTTAGGCCAGTAAATCGTACACTTTTGTAGTATAATGCGGTTACACGAACTCCGAAATATGAGGTATATGGGTGTTCCCCAAAGTGGGGTCCCATTTTGGTACCCCTGAATATTAGGTGTGGGAATAGATACTATAACCAAAAAAGTGCCCACAAGTCCCTAAACCCCTAAACTCTGAACCCTAAACCCTAAACCCCTAAACCCAAAACCTCAAGGCCGCCCAGCAGCGTCGTTGTCCCAATCCTTCATCATCGTGTTGGAGAAGTGTCCCGTGATGATGTCATCCTGGTGCTTTGCCTCATTTGAATTTAATGTTTAGGGTTTAGGGGTTTTGGGTTTTGGGTTTAGGGGTTTAGGGTTTGGGGTTTAGGGGTTTCGGGGTTTAGGGTTTAGGGTGTAGAGTTCAGGGCCAAGGATTTAGGCTTCAGAGTTCAGGGGTTAGAATTTAGGGTTTTCAGTTTAGGGCTATACCTAGGGGTCATTTAAAGATTCAAATAAGATTCTGGTGATAGGGGCTTTGTAGATGCAATCGTCTCTGGCTCCCATGAACAAGATTATGACATCATGTCCGTTTTGGGCTTTAGTATTTTTTTTTATAAAATTGAACATAGTTTTCAATAATGAAGAAATGTATCAGGCAGCAAGAGAAGCTGTCATCGGAGTGGTCTGTGGGGCCTCCAGAGAACTCAAACATGGAGCACATAGGAATTCAAGGAAGGATGCTGCCAGGCTTGGTGGAGTATAGGGATTTCCCAGGAGCTAGATCCAAACCCTAAGGGCCGCAGGAAAAGTAGTAAAACTCCCTGTGAAAGCCCCAGTTGCCATTTGGCTTTCGAATTCTTTTCCATTTGATTCTGCATTATTGGGGGATAATCTCCCTATATAAACTATTAACCCCTATATAACCCATTATAGTAGTTTCCATTTTATTTTCCATTACCCCAACATAACCCCAATAAGGGGGATCGAGAGAGAGGGGAAGGGTCCGTAGACACTTTCCCATCCTCAAGCGTCAAAACCCAAGGCGTATACCCTGAAACCCAAACTGAGGCCCGGGCATAGAGCGGTCGCATGATGGTCTTCAACTCCTCTGAAAGCTCGTAGCATTTCCTTGCCACCAGCAAAGGAAAACAAGTCCGTATATGCAAGTGTATGAAACGCCCAATACAACAAAAATCCTAAGCCCTGCGGTGCAAGACTGCAATCCTTTGCCGAACTCTGACAACTGCCTGTGGGCTTCTTGACCAAGCCTAAACCCTAAACTCAAAGCCTAGAGCCTCAAGCCTAAAGCTCAAAGATCTGATGCTGCCTTAAAATTAGGGGGACCCCTATATTAGACCCCAATATACTATAATCTTTACCATAGGGATCCCCAAAAAGGTACCCATACTTTTGGGAATCCCCCATGCTTTCCCTGGTGTTGTCGTACGCGCTGGCCGAGGAGCAGCTTAGAAGGATTGTCCAAGCGATTCATCATGCCCGTGATCCCGCCATGCTTCAGCGCCTCTTCCGTGATCGTGTGGAGGTAAGGGTTAGGGTAATGCACTACGTAGGGCTGCCATGCATCTAGGTTCAAATGTGGCTATAACTGTGTCTTTTTGCTTTGATCTTTCTGGGAGCGTGGTATTTTGCAGAAACAAGGGGGCCCCAATATAGACCCCAAAAGACTCTAGTCCTCATTCTGGGGACCCTCCCAAAAAGGTACCCCCAGTTGTTGGAAACTCCCATGTAAGCCGATACGGAGCTTTCGAGTCTAGACCGCAAGCCATTACTTTGAAGGGCTTGCGCTAGGTTGCTGTTCAGGAACTTATTCTAAGTTACCAGATCATGGGTCTGGCTATATAACTATATAGTACATGATGGAATTGCTATAGCAAACTAGAGAAAGCTCCTTAACAGCAGCCCAGTAAGCCGGTGATCCCGTCTGCATGCGAATTCAGGCTCGACACTTAAAGGCTTTGCAGTTCATGGAGAAACTGGGGCTATATGGGGATTTTCCTAAATTAGGGGTACCTTTTTGGGGGTCCCAGTAATAAGGACTAGAATATTTTGGGGTCTATATTGGGGTCCCCCTATTTAGGGAAATTCATATATAGGGGGAATGGAACAGAACATGGAAATTGCCGCATCGGTGTGGGTTTAAGGTTGCATAGGTATATTTTGCTTGCAGACATTTGTGTTTACTACGACATGTGCTCTCTGACATTTCTGCCAAGCTTGCCTGAGATTTGCTGGAGGAGTCGCCAGCAAAGATCCTTGATAATAACAAGCTAAGGAGTCACGCCAACTATCGCCCTGACGCGTGATCGTTCACGGTGCGACACAAAAGCTGTGGAATAACATGCTTAGGAAGATGTTGGTAACCCCAACCCCGCTAATGGGGGCCCTATAACTATCCTTTGGCTCTTACACAGTTCTTTTTGTAGGGTCTGGGGTTATCCGCATTCCTTCGTCGCTCCTAAACACGGTCAGTCGTCGTTCTAAACACCCCCAGCTAAGCCCATTTTCTATTTCAGGGTCCATGTCCTTTTCCATGTGATTCTCCCTGCCCCCTATTATAAGAGTATCACTAAGAGTATCAGAAATCACTCTTAACCTCGAAGAAAGGCGACGCCTGACTCAAGGTAAAATATCCCTTAGGCTCAAAGTAGCTGCTGTCGGTAGACTTTTGACCCTAAACCCTAAAACTCTAAAATGGACGTTATGAAAAGACCTAGAGGTCCAGGGTATCCTTACGCAAGTATATCACGCGGCACTGCGGTTATCCTGTAACTTGGGCATTGCCCAACCCAGCGTCTGAACCTTATATAGAGCACTATATTAATATAACCCCAGGTTACATTTGCTTTCTATTTTCTTTTCCATTTGAGTCTTACCCCTATGTACTCCCATGTAGCCCCTATCTACCCCATGTAGCCGCGATATGACCGCTAGATACCCTAATGTACCCCTTCATAGACGCACGGCCGAAAAGGCCTCAGTAATCGTCTCCCAGCCATACTGGATGAGTTTCGACGCCTTGGACTGCGGAGTCTTAGCGATGAGCGGGGTTACACTCGAGGGAGAACATAAGAACAGGTCATGCTCAATAGATACCTTAACCTACCAAAACCTACTTTTTTGTAGTGTCCCATTATAAACCCTAGTATAGAATTTTTAGGGAACCTACAAAAAACTAGGTTTTGGTAGGTTAAGGTAGGGTTTAGGGCCAGGGCGTTAGGGCTCACAGCTTGGGCTTCGGGGTTGAGGGTCTAAGGCTTAGGGCCCAGCGCAAGGAAAAACAACATGCGCACTAATGCTATGCGCTCATACCACTGCTAGCACCAAGGAAAGGCAGAGCAGGGTACTGTTCTTTGAGTTATCCCTTCCTCCCCATTTGTGCAATCCAAGAAGCTTCCTTTGTATATCCCGAGATATACTACAGCCCTTCTGTTGCCGACCCCACGACCCCTTGAAAGCTACAGTGATCATAGTTTACTGTATGCAGTACTATGCCAACTAGATGGCTCAGGGGAGTCTGCAAGTATGTGGTCTTACATTGGATTATATGTGCACTGATTGAGTTGGCCTGCTCATCTTCCCCCTTTACGCCCTACTTGCTAACTCCTCTCAGCCTCTTAGTATTCAGCCGCTGGGCATAGCCGGCATCGATGCCGTTGGCCACCATCTTGTCAAAGCACAAGACGGCGCCTGCGTAGGATTCCAAGCCCCCACCGCCAAAGGGTTACGTGACCCCGAAAGTTCTTTTTTGTTATCGGTTTGCTAAACCCAAAGCCCTGGGAGGGTTGAGGAATGCTATGTCCTCTTTGGACCTAAGGTGGCTCAAGGCATGCGGGGACATGTGGGATAGAAGCAATCGCGAGTCACACTTCGCATCCTCGCATCAGCTGGCAGCATGTTGAAGGACACTTCACCCCAAGAGACCATGTAGGCATGTAGTTTATCATGCTTAAGGCCCAATGCGGTTCCCGTGTAACCATTTGTGCATGAGAGTATATCATGAATGCGTAGTAGCCACATGGACCCTTCGGGTTAGGAACACCTCTTGCTACGCGGGGGGCTTAGGACACGAACCCAGGCAAGGATCCACCTTCGACGCTACTGGGGCAAGCCTCCAAAAACTACTTGAGCCCCAAAACCTCCTTTTCCTAAGGGTCCATTTGCCTGAAATAATATCATCGGGGCCTAGCGAGTTACAACTTACAACGCTGGACATTTTAGCCTAAATAATCTGCTATTTCAGTATCTGCACCCAAAGGATTGAGTTTGGGACCATCCGTGGCAACCCAGCCCCTTGAAAAGAACAGTAGTCTTTTTGGGAGCCATTTGGATGTCAATTGGGAAAAATAATTTACCCTAAACCCTGTACATCCATCCGTGTATGTATATGTATATTGACATGCCTAAATATCCCTACATCGCCTCCAGATCATGCCTATGCAGCCCTTAATCTATGGGGTTCCATGTAATTCTTTCTTGCCTCTTTGCAAAGATTGCAAAGGCAATCGCCCTAAACCGTGAGCCCTAAACTCCAAACCCTGAACCCTAAATCCTATTCCGCCATCCCTCAACATTGAACCCTACAGCGAGAACCCATAAACAAAAAAAAACAAACCCTAAACGCCTGAACACAAAACCCCATAAACCCCAAACTCCCAAACCCTAAATTTTCCCCCCTCAAACCCCAAACCCCTAAACACCTGACCCTACACCCCAAACCCATATGCCAAAACATGCTTTGGCCTGTCTGCAACATACCGCACAAGATGGTCTGCTCGCCCATAAGGTCACTCTTGACCTCTCGTGGTATGGTTCTGGTCGAGTTTTTAGGGATTAGGTCTCAGACTTCAGAGTCGAGGGTTTAGGAGTGGGGGTTTCGGGGTAAGGATCTAGGGCTAGGTCTTGATAAAGAAGAACCAGAGATGACTTTCGAAACTTGGGATACCCTAAACCCTTCAACCCCATATGGGCATTTCTCAAAACATGCCCCATACCCTGCCTCATAAGGACCCCCCATAATCCCCTGATTATCGCTAACCCTAGTCCATTGAGGTCCCTAGGAGCCCTGCTGTTTAAAAAGTCGCATCTGCGTAGAGTAACCCATCGCAAGCATTGAGCCTAAGTTTTCGGCCTGTGTGGCAGAGTCAATACGGACAAGTCTAGACAGAATCCCACTTCAAGCCCAAGCAGGCGAAGTGCTAAATACCAGTGCTAGCTAAAGACATGATAAGCAACTGTAGCATATAACCTGCCTCTACCTTGGCTTTTCTCTACGTGACTGCAAGCAGCAAGCCATTCCTCAACGCTGCAGACTCCTGTAACCATGCCACCTACTACACCCTGAACTCCTCAGCCTTCAAGCATCATATGAATTAGGAGGACCCCCCACCCAGTAATAGTGACTATAAGGGATAATAAGGATTATATTAGGGTCCTATTTTATGGGTGGTTGTCAAAATTATGGTCCCTTTTTGGATGCCTATTACAATACGGCCCCTAATATTTAGGGTACCCAAAAAAGGGACCATTATTTTGACAACCACCCATATTCCTATTATGCCGCAAAAACAGGGTGGGGGGGTCCTCCTAACATATGAAAGAGGTTCAGCAGGCAATTCTCGTCTTCATATGTAAGCTATATGGGGGTTTCCCAAAATTAGGGGTACCTTTTTGGGGGCCCCCATAATAAGGATTATAGTATTTTGGGGTAAATATTGGGGTTCCCTTATTTTGGGAAACTACCATGTGTATATATATATACCCGGCAAATCGAAACAAGATGAACCAAAAGGGGCCCATAATGTTGAGAAGGAAAACCATCCACCTCTAACCCTTCCTGTGATTTTCCTGTGCGGCCCTAATCCCCCGTTGTGTAGACCTTTGTAAATACTACAGAAAGCCCCCAAACAGAAGCCTACAGACTATGCGACTTCTTGCTCGAGCCACCTCGGCCACAAAGGAGCTCAAAAGCACTCCTGCACCTGGGCTCAGCTTCCAGTCGAGGGCGTAAGAATCGCAAAAGTTGCATGAGCAGTAGTATAGTCGCAGTAGTAGTAGTAGTAGTAGTAGTAGTAGGAGGAGGAGGAGGAGGAGCGATAACAACAGAAATCCTGGAAAGCACCTGGAGATGGCTTAAAAATCTGAGCAAACACGTAAGCCCGAAACTTTGCCCTAAACCAAACCAGGACAGCGTTCAGGGGTTTGGGCTCAAGGTTTAGGGTGTTTTAGGGTTTTAGGTTTTAGCGTTTAGGATTCAGGGCTTAGGGTTCTAGGGTTCGGGGGGCATACACAGGATGACCCGCAAGTGCGCCTAAGGCCGCTTGGCCATCATTTACGAAATTTACTTCCAGCCAGCAGACGGTCGCCGCCAGTGGCTGCAGCGTAGGCTTTGGCGATATCCAGGCCATCGCCCTTGCGGTCTTGAAGTTAGGTGCAAGAAATAAGCTACATCTGGTGAGTTCTCAATGGCGGAGATATCACAAGGGAATTTTGGGATATACATAGAGATCTTAAGGAGATTATTGGTTCCCCCTTAGGGGGGAACATGATAGAGGGATCATTTTAAGAGACCAGAATATGAGCTATAGTCCAAAGTCCTAGTATCCCCCTGTATAGCCCCTGACTATACTACTCCCCCATATCATCCCCTATGTAACCCCTTTTACGGAGGTCAGACTATAGCTCGTATGAGTAGCGTTTTTTTGTGGTTAAACCAGTAAGATGAGATTCATTGTATAAAATACTATACCCCAAAAGGAGGATATAATTTTACTCTATAATGGGTACCATAGTATCCCCAAATAAAAATACTACTCATATGACCTCTATATAATCCCAGTTTCCATTTCATTTTCCATTTTCTTTTCCACTTGATTCTCCTTTATAGCGCCCTAAACCCTATATTGGGTGCCATAGTATCCCCCAAATAAAATACTACTTATATGACCCTTGGAGTCCTTTGGGTCGTTCTCGGGATGCACGGCGATCAGGGTGGGCACGCCGAAGCCACGCTTGTACTCCTCAAGTGGGTAGCGTTGATTGCGGTGGCTGAACCTAGTCTTAAGAGAATATTCCTACCCAAAAAGGAAGCTATGATCTGAATCTATATTGGGTACCAGAGTATCCCTAAATAAACTACTACTCAAGTGGAATGTTTCAGAACAGGGTTGCCTTGAGACCAAATCCATGCATAATTAGACAGTTTAATGTAGGGCTCCTGCCGAGAAACTCCTCACGTCATGTACTGCGTTGATGAGCAGCAGGTTTCGCATGCGAGGACATTTCCTTTCAGACCTTTTTGCCGTCCACCTCGCGGAAAATTCCCCAATATCTAACAGAGCTATATCGGGCTTTATTTTTCAAGGGGTGGGGGTAATCATTGATGGGAGCGAGTTAGACCAACAAGCTGCCTGTGAGCAGGCAGCATGCAAGCATCAAAGTTAAGGGCTTAGGGCATAGGGTTTTGGGTGCTCGTTCAACCTCTTTCGCAGTGTTCTACGCAGCACTATGATGTTAGCCTCTTCAGATCGTACGCTGCCCCAGCTCAAGATCCCTCAGGCCTCGACCCACTGCTCGGCTGCAATGCCAAAGTCAACAGGACGGCATATTGCGCATCACACATGCCTATGGTAGGTTCAACTTCCCTTGCACGTGCACGCAGGATGATTGAACGTTTCTTGGCGGAGCACTGATATATGATCAAAACTGCATCGCACATGTCACGTGTCTATTGTAGCTCCGTAACTATTTTCCGTAAGCCCTGAAACTATGTTTCCCTAATCCCTAAACCTTTAATTAAACCACTGCACCCTAGACCCCAAACCTCTAAACTCCCAAGCCCTACTGCAAGATTTTGGCTCCTCGCGAACTTCAGTTCCTGGGCACTTGGGGGCGACCATCACCACAGTCAGGTCCTGCAACTCATAGGATTCAAGGATTTAAGGGTTTAGGGTCTTGGGTTTAGAGTTTAGGGTATAGGGTCTTGGGGTTTAGGGGTCTAGGGGTTCCATGGGTATTAAGGGTCTGGGGTTAAGAGTTAAGGGGTTTTGGGTGTATTCCCCTTGAACTTACATGGAGGCACAACAGATTCCCTATCAAGACGGGCGTTGCTTTAAATGGCGAATATATGGGTGTTCCATGCTAGTTTGGTGGAGGCATGGATTTTGTCATAAGGAGGCTAAACACATGAATCCTGAATCCTAAACCCTAAATTAGAAGTGAAGACCTCTTGCCGTCCCCTAAGGCCCAGGTTCCCCCTTGATTAAAGTGAGTTAGGGATACTTAGGCCTGATTAGAGTTAATTAGGGGGGAACCTTAGGAGGGTCGTATAGGGGGGGTAGTAGGGGAACCCATGAAGTTTCATCTGTGTGCTATAGAGATCTCTATACAATCAGGGGCCTAGGGGTAGATTTTACAAGCGGGTGTGAGTTATCGCTCATCACTCCAACCCTTCAGCAGATGCGAGCCGCGGAAACTTGCAATGGAAAAGAACAATTGCCAACATTTAGGGCTCAGGATTTAGGGTTTAAAGTTTAGGATGTAAGGTTTAGGGTTCAGGGGCTGTCCGGCCGGATCTTCATTCCCTCCTCCACAATGTTGAAGCCGTGGCCTTGGCGAGTTCCGGTTACCTATGTGGGTTTTAGGGTTTGGGGCTCAGGGTTTAGGATTTGGGGTTCGGGCTTTCTCCCTGATACAAGGCTCTTCCAAGCCCTGATAAGAATTAGTCCTCCCCATTGTAAATAGTACTGCGAGCGGCGGTGGAAGGTTATTCTCAGGAGAAGTGACATAAGATTGTTTTGGGTTAGCCCAAACCTAACACGACGGTCTTAACCATAGCGGTTGCTGGGTTACCCAAAAACCCTCTTGTTTAATTGTTGCACCACTACTACTTACTGGTGCTACTGCTGCTGCTGTTGCTGCTGCTGCTACTACTACAACTCAACTACTCCTCCTGCTCCTACTCCTATTCCTACTACTCCTACTCCTACTCCT